ATTACATCTAGCCCCCTCAACTATGATTTTTTCTTACACCTCCACCCTTATGGTGTCAAATTCAACATAATCGTCTAGATTTCGTGGAATGTGCTCTACTTCGTACTCATTTTGTGTAAAAATACAGTTTCTGATGCACCACAATCTGATATATACAAGCCAAAAACACATATTATGATCATCTTGCTTCAAAATGTAGAGCTCGAATGGGATAAAACGGGTACAAAAGTGATAATATTCCATATAATCTCGAAGATTCCACTAAATTTAAGGGGTTGAGGGTGTGGTTGTAATTTACCCTAAAATATATTTATATATGTGAACATTTATGATTTCGGCAATTATCTTTAAAATTGAATAACCAAATGTGTATGTCGATTTTCAGCTAGCTGTTTGTTATGAGTCATGTCACATTTTCAACTAATTGTTGGAATATATAGAATTATAAACGAATGTGACAAAATATAATTTTTTTCTATTTAATTCACGCCGCCAAAAAAATCCATGCATGAACCTATAAGATTTGTAGACTAAATATGTATATACCTTATTGCTAATATAGGATAAGCAAACAAAACTAGATAGTTAATTATTTTAGTATTCTTTTTTGGGTTTTTGTGCATAAGTCCTGACCAACCATTTTTAGTATTCTAGGTTTCGAGGCTCTATCTCTTTAATATGTATAATAAATAAAAGAAAAATTAATGTATACGTCAAAATTATCCCCAATTCTTAAATGTAACCCCAATTTAATCAATTTTTACCACAAAAATCCAATTTTGCCTCTTTTTTTTTCTGAAATTAATTTGCCGCCGGTTTCCGGCGTTGACTTTTCAATATTTTTTTTCTGGTCTGTTTTTTCCACCGCCGGTTTTCGGCATTGACCGCCTCTCTCCGAGTTGACTTTTTTAGTAATTTTTTTTTTCTCGTAATTATTTTTTTCGTTTTTGTACGCCCGCTGCTAAATGTTGATCGTAGTTATACTGTCATTAACTGTAATTATACTGTCACTGGAAGTATAATAACGTAATTATACTGTCATTGACAGTACATCAATACAATTGTTCTGTCGACATTTATGTAATTGTACTGTCGTTGACAGTACAATTAGAGTCAACGACAATATTATTATTTTTTCGGGTTTTTTTTTTTTTTTTTAGTTTTGCTTGATTTGTCGACAAGTCAACGTAATTATATTACTGTTGTTGACAGTAAAATAACTGTAAACACAATAATATTACTGTCAACCACATCAATATTATTAACTTTTTGAGATTTTTTGATTTGTTTGAGTTGTTGAAGGAGTAACGTAATAATATTACTGTCTGTTATTGTAATATTGCTGTAAACACGATAATATTACTGTGATTGACGATAATATTATTGTCAACCACATTAATATTAATTCTTTTCGCTTTTTATTATGTTTACCTTTGTTGAAATGTCAACATATTAATATTACTTATAATAAAATAATAATGACTTTTATTCTGTTAATATTAGTGGGGTTAATTACATAAATGGTGTAATAGTGGAGTTATTTTACATGAATGGTGTATTTTTTACATAGTTTACAAGAATGGTGTAAATCACATTTACCACATGCGATTTTTCTTTAACCAAATTCCGACATTTAAAATTCATCTGCAACAGTAATCGTTTATGACAGTTACCAAGACATCAGAAATCGCCACTAATGAATATGATTTACTCCAATTTGGTAAACACGAAAAAAGTACACCATTTGTGTAAATCAAATTGGCTTCTACGCCATATATATAATTGACCAAATATTACTGTACTTGAGATTAATATAGCAATATTGTTGTGTTAAACTGTAGTATAGTTAATATTATTATGTTTAACAGTAATACAGTTAATATTACTGTCAACCACATCAATATTGTTGTTTAAACGGGGGCAAAAGGATGTTAAAGAAAAAAAATCAAAAAAGTCAACACCGGAAACCGACGGCGAAAAAATCAGGAAGAAAAAAATATATACGTCAACGGCAAGTCAACCGCTAGTCTCCAGCGTTGATTTTTTTGAAACTTTTTTTTTTCTGAAATATTTTTCCGGCAGGTCAACCGCTAGTCTCCAGCGTTGATTTTTGTTTTAAAACTTTTTTTCTTCTTCTGAAATTCTTTTACCGGCAGGTCAAATTCCGTTAACCGCCGGTCTCCGGCGTTGACTTTTTTTATTTTGTTTTGAAAATTTATTTTTTCTTAAAAAAAATTATTTTAATCAATATTACTATCTTGGCTGCTAAATACTGTCTCCAACAGTAATTTAACTGTCCGAGTCAGTAATTTAACTGTCTGAGACAGTAATTCTACTGTATTAATTAATTTTATCGTCTTGGCCTGCAATTTTGCTATCGATCGTAATATTACTGTCTCTGACCGTAATATTATTGTTTCATGCAATGATGTTACTGTTTGAGACAGTAATATTAGTAATATTACAGTTCGGGAAAGTAATATTCATAATATTACTGTCTGAAACAGTAATATTATTATCTGAGACAGTAATTTTACTGTTTGAGACAGCAATATTACTGTTTGGGACAGTAATATTAGTAATATTAGTGTTTTGATATTCAATATTACTATTTTAGATAATAATTTTGTTGTTAACATAGTAATAGAAAAAAAAGTCAACTGCGTTTGACCGGTCGGAAAAAAATTTAAAAAAAAAAGTCAATGCCGTAATCTGGCCGGAAAAATAAAATTCTGAAAAAAGAATATTATTTTTTCAAAAAACTATGAAAATGGTGGTTAATGTAATATCTTTGTTCAAATCCGGGGTCAATGTTTAATATTGAGAAAGTTATAGTATAAATTATAATGGATGAAATTGATAAAAAAATATAATATGGATGGTATTTTAGACAAAAGACATTGGTATGGGTTTATTTGCAAGACTATTTTTTGTCTGGACCTATGTCATTTAAGTCCTTTGTTATGGGCCTCTTTGCCATTCGCCCATAATTTTATAGAACTCCTCACTGGAAATGACTTTTCTTTAGAGACCTCCAGTCTCTAACTGGGTCACTAAAATGAAACTTAAAGACTCGTTTTGCTTACTCCATTGGAGATGCCTTTATAAACTTTAAAAATAGAAATTATAAAGAAAATTCTAGAAAATTAAAAAAAAAGTATATATATATATATATATATATATATATATATATATATATATATATATATATATATAATTTAAAAGAATACAACTAAGATTTTCGGATGGGAACCGAAATTGTAAAATTTTTGAAATTTAAAAAGAAACTATAAAGAATTTCGAGAATATAAATTATTTTCAAAATTTTGGGCTGAGAAATAAAATTATGGAAAAAATTGAGAATAAACGGGGTATACATTTAGTACAATAGTAAGAATGAGGTATACCTTTTGTACACCACCAGATGGGTATATCCGTCAGAAATTATCCAACAGTTAGTGCTATGGTCGGTCAAAAATGGAAAGTGACAGATTTTCTAACATGGGGTAACATGAGGGCCGATTTTGTCGCATTTGGTTGTATCGAGGTTATGCGACATTGACGATAGTATAGGAGAGCAAATTGCATTTAACCCTGAATATTATCTAAAATAAAAGAAATTCATAAATTTTGGGTGAAAATTTTAGGCGATGAACAAAATTGCAAAATGTCATAAATTTAAAAGGAAAATATAAATAATTTTTAGAATATAATTTTTTTTTCTTCAAAAAATTTGGATGAAATTATTAGGTTGTGGAAAATAAACTTATGGAAGAAACATGAAGACAAAAACTGAGAGTAAATTGAGTACAAGAGAAAACGAAAAAAAGAAAGAGGCACACCTTTTATATACAATAAGAGGGGTATTTTCGTCCGAAATTGTTCAACATCTAGCGCAATATTCGGTCAAATTTGAAAGAGACAGATTCTTTAACATCGCTTGACGGCAAGAGTAACTTTGTCGCATTTTGTAATACAAAGGCGTATATGCGACATTGGTAATAATATAAAGGTGCAATTTGTATTTAATCCAAAAAATAACTGTTAACGACATTGCTAAGGGTGCAATTTGTATTTAATTAACCCGAAAAAATAAATATCCAGCATTGCATTAAAACCATGTCCTCAGTTTACACATCAGTGGGACAAAAAAGAGGAAAGACAACCTCAAAATTCAATAATTAAATAGCAAACAAAACCAATGAACCAACCCTGAAACTGTTTTAACTTATCTATATATTGTTACAGGTTTACAATCAAACAACATTAAATAAGGCCAACTTTAAGCCTCAAACTAAAGTTCTAAGTTACAATTTGCAAAAATTGAAAAGTGCATCAAAAGCACCGGAGAAATCTGTCGTGGTGGTTACTCGTCGTCTTCGAGTGCGTTATAAATCATCCTACACGAAAATTAATATTATGTTGATCAGTAAACGAATTCTTTAAGAAAAAGGCTTTTTTTACGGCGAATTGAAAACGGATGCAGATTTTTCACTCACCAGAACAAGCACATGAAGAGAAGAAGTATGACGTAACCGAGCTTGAAAAGCCGTTGCTTCTTTTCCCAATTTAGCAAGTTAAAGATCTCGGTTACGTCGACTAGATGCTTTTTCTTAAGATACCTGATCCAAGAAAATAACAATTCAAGAACAGTATAGACTCGTGCTTACTTCTTAATTAACAGTGTAAAAATCTCGAGAGAAATTTGTGATTTAAAAAAAAAAACCCGAGGTTCAATTTGCGGGCCCCACTAGGGTTTTCATTCCAATTGAGATTTGTTACAAGGGAGTCGTAATTCTTTTTTATCCGTACCGAATTCTAATTTATGTTGTAAATGACTTTTGATTTTCGTATTAATACATTGATAGGAGGTCCAGGCCCCCTCAGTCTGGACAAGGAGGACTTCACTAAAAAAACATGTAATTTAATGTGTGCTTGATTCAATTTTCGAGAAATCGAGGGAGAATGAAAATGCTTTGTAATACCACTCTGTGCTATACAGTACAACAACAGAGCGAGCATATACATATAAAAACATGCATTCTACAAGTAAACCTCTACAAAGTAATACAGCCGGGACTACGGAAATTCTATTAAATTAGCGAATTATTAAATTATCGAGTTAATAATTTAACACATTTTCACCGAGTCGAGACCGAGAGAAACTATTACTTAATCGAGCTTATTAATTTATCGAGTTTCTACTGTATATTATTCAAGAATCCGAAACACACTTCCCCATAGGAGTCAAACGTCAAGAAAATAAACGAAAAATTAATATCCGGAAAAGGGAAAAAGACTAGAGCTATTAAATAAGCCAATGAAATGAAACTTCGGAAAAAGCTTCGTTCGGCAAAGAAGCACGTGCATGCTACCAGACAATCAATAGATACCGTAATGCAACTCTCATAAGTATACGATGCATGCATATATTCGTACAAAACATATAATTATTTATTTAACTCGAGACGATTTGGGTAAAAGTGAAAGGTAAGTGAAAATCTTACAACATCACGTTGTAGTAGAGGTACGGTAAACAGAAAAGCGACATGACCCAATGCCCCGTTAGAAGGAAAAGCAAACACAAAACCCCTTCGGTAATGATTTCAGGCAAAACCACATTGTTTATTCGAGACGCCGAGTCGTACGGATTGATATAATCGAACTCCAGATCGGTCAAGCACATGAGCTGCACAAAAAAGTCAACAGCTTCAGTCAACCCCCTTTTTTCTACTAAATACCTAAAGAAGGTAACAATTGCTTACACAAAGCAATCAGTACTAATTCATCTCAAATTCCCAATTTTTTACACTATAGTTCGTAATTTTGAAATTAAAACATCATATTTCAATTTCAATTGATTTACTACATGATCCAAAAAAACAAACAAATTAATACAAATTCACATAAAAAAAAATTAAAAATTGAAACTTTCCGGCAATTATTGAAAATCGAATTTCCCAGCAAACGAAATTAAATCTGTAAAAGAAAAAATTAAATTAAATTAATACCTGGTAAACTAACATAATAACAAGGGCGATTAGAATGAAGAAGAAGAGAGCCCAGGCCCACACATCTCCCATATTTTCCTCCTTTTATGTAATTTTTTTTATTTTTTTTTGGTTTGAATTATTGGATGTGTTGTGGTATTGAGAGGTAGGTTGAAGATAGAGGAAAGAGGGAGAATGTGATAAAGAGCGCCAGGTGCGCAGGTTAGCGCCCTGGTGCTTGATTTCGGAAGATATGAATCGGTGAGCTGATCGGAAACTGAATCTCTACCGGCAGAATTTTTTCAGGTGGGTGCGACGACCTAGCTTTTTTTGATTTTGGAATAATTAGGTAAAAGTCAGCCTACGGTATTATGCAAAAATAGAAAGAGGGAAATTATGCGAATATCCCATCAACGTCATACTTATTTAACTATTTTATTTATTTATTTATTTATTTATTTATTTATTTATTTATTTATTTATTTATTTATTTATTATTATTATTATTATTATTATTATTATTATTATTATTATTATTATTATTATTATTATTATTATTATTATTATTATTATTATTATTATTATTATTATTATTATTATTATTATTATTATTATTATTATTATTATTATTATTATTATTATTATTATTACTATTATTATTTTTATTTATTTTTTGAGTAAATTAGAGATGCCAAAAAAAATACCTTTTATTTAAGGGAGGTAGTCACAAAAAGACCCATGACAAGAGCACTTTTAATTAAAATAGGGACATTCAGTTTTTTTGTTTCGCAAATAAACCCAATACTTCAAAGTTTATTTAAAATCAAGGAAAGGGTCTTTTTTCGGACATAATTGCCCCTGTATTTAATGTAAAAGCCCTAAGCTCGTTTTTTATGAATTCTGCGTGATTCTTCTCTTTTCTCCCCCCGAATCCCTCTCTGCAACTCTATATCTCGAAACTGAGCTGCATCTACCTGTTTCTCGCCGGCCGTCGTTTTTCGCCGGCCGTCGTTTTTCGCCGGCCGTCGTGTACTTTTACCGCCGATCATATTATTTTCAACGAACGTGTGTCAATTTTTTTTATCTGCATGCGAATGTTTTTTTAAGTTTCAAATTTCAACATCGCTATATGTATAGTTTGAATTGTAGTAAATTGAACACCATGATGTAAGGGTGTTCGATGTCTGTTGACAGAATCTGTGGTTTATTTGTTTGTTGTGTATTTTTGTTTTC